TCAGCAGGAGAAAATTATATCTGTATTCTAGTACGAAGAAATATGATTTTCTGACACTGCGATTTCCAAATAAAAAAATGGATATTCTTTATCTGTACATACAAGTATCATTTTTGTTCGTTTATTTCTAAATCGTAGATTGCAATTCTTTCTCTCCTGCTTTGCATAGGAGACTATTTGCTATTATATCTCCTTGACAAAGATAACTGAAATAAAAATATATAAAATTGTGTTGCGAGCAGTTCTTCAAGAATGCGATGAATGGTTCGTAAACTTTTTTACAACAGTGGCTCGTGCATTATTCACTCAAAAATTTATACCGCAAACTTTCACGGTATACGCATGTTTTGGGTGTTATTTATGACTTTATGACGACTTTTCTGCGAAAAATACATTTTAGTGGGATTACGACAACACAAATTCGTCATCGCGTAACGTAGTCATAAATGTCAGATGAAAGAATACAAGTGTTTGATCGTTGCTTCTGTCGCAGCCTTTTGAATGGTAGATATGAATCGGGTGCTTGGAATAGATTATTCTCCGTATATGTGCAGTTGAATGGGTGGGAGAAGCAACGGCGACTCACAGTCTATCGCGCAGTCCCGTGCGACCTATATCACCCTGCATCCCGAGTTGCTATTTATAGATAGATGCGCTATGGTAGTGTGGTCGAAAGCACTTAACTGCGCCATCATTTTATTATATCGATAAAGCGCTTTTTTATGAATAAATTATTCTTATAAAATTAATCGAGCGCAAAAAAGAGGAAAATCGATGAATCGATAGAAATATAATGCGATTTCTACGTATCGCTTATAACATCCTACAGAAATCATGAATCATTTTATCCTCCGCGAATTTATGTTATCTCTATTCTACACTCGTGAAAGCGACATTCGATCACAATCGAAAGCATTCGGGTGTATTACGTTGGAAATTCGGATTGCTACAGCTTGAAATTCTCGTCGGTCATTGGATATTATTGGACAATATTATACATCCTGCAGGATTATTGTAATCGATTTGTCCTGATATTGGTGCTTTAGAATCCACGGGGTGATTAATTCCAATCATGCCAGGATAACGTAACATGGAGCAACGAGCAAACTGTCAATGAAAATATCAATTTGACAAATATAATTTTTCTTTCTTTATACGCGATATATATGTCGATCTTGTCTTTTCAAGCCACACATGTTCACATGGGACAATGTGATGGGATTTAAAGTATGATCGGATTGTATTATTACACGAAGATTTCATGTCAGACTCTCTGAGAATATCGCTACTTGTACCACTTATGCATTAAATAAAATGGCTGTGTCACTGAAGCAACTTGTCACTGAAGAGGTGCACGTTCATAGTAAACATCTTTACGTACAATGCCCCCAAAACGTCAATATTGGCATTGATAAAATGCACATTGCACTTATTATTGTCAAATAATGTGTTTCTCCAGACTGAGATAGCTGGAGATACATATAAATATCTCGAATTGTCTGCGAACAGCTGATGGGCATGTCGATCCGATGTCGAAACGTTAATCAATTTTATATAGAACAGTAATGTTCTACTTATATGATCGAATATCTTAGATTCTCTTGCCGCAAATGACGAGGGAAATTGACTAAATATTCATACCAACGTCATACTTGGATGTATAAATCGTGTAGATTACGAAATGACATTTACGAAGCAACGTGCTATTTCTCATCGTGTTCATTCAGACAACTTTATGTCTGGCGTAAAATTTTTGCATTTGACTGAAGTACTTAAACCACATTAATGTTACGACAACATAAATACCTTTCCTGTGATCAGAATAAGAGGTACTTTTTTATCCTAAATTGTGAAAGTTTATTATTTGTTTTATTTTTGTATATCCTCGGTGTATATTTTTATCGAATAAAAATTGCGCGAAAGTAGCTTACTGGAGAGCTCAGACGGGATTATCGTTCTTAGAAAATAATTCTAAATCGTCCGCGCGATTGTGGTTAAAGCGATTGTTGAAGCCTATTTAAATCGACGCTTGTATAGAAAGCTTTCTCGAAGCCCTACGGAAGTTTACAAGAAACAAAAAGCGATCAATGGTCGAGATACAAGTAAAATAACGAGCCTGAACAGCCTCTTTACATCAGACACGTGCTCTTCTCAAGAAATAATCGATATTACGAGATTTTTGAAGCAGTGCTTACCCCTGAAGAGAGAGCGAGTTAGGAATCCCATCAAGACTTTCCCTGCTGATTTCGTCAGCCATCGCGACCTTGAGTTGATGCCCGAAGCTTGCCAGATCCTCTCTGAAGGCTTCACTTCCGGGCGTCAATGCACCGCTAGTGGGCGGCAAGGGTGTACCGTCACCCCCATCCCCTTCCTCCCCCTCCTCACCCTCTTCACCACCTACGAGGACTTCCTCGTCTTCGTTGTAGATCTTGAAGTAGGCGATGGTGAGGTATATCACCGAGATTATGAAAGACGGTATCGGAATTGCCATCGCGTACACAAGGTTCATGTACACCTGAGAAAGCGTTTCAAACATATGACTCGAGTTAGATGGAAACTAATACGCATCTGATTTTCAGTTATAAACAGCGTATTCTTTGGAAAGAATCTCGCATACGAATTTTGATTGGAAGATCAATTGAAAAATTTTTACGACACATGTCAAGAGAGAGTTTCCAGATTACAGCTGTTAAAATTTTTTGTACATAAAGGACACACTTTCTCCCCTCCGCGCCCCAAGATTACTTTAATATTCCAAATCACGATTGCAAAAAATCAATAATGTTCTTTAAATTATAACGTAAACAAATGGCGATAGTAAATAATAAAATTGTAGATAATTCGAAAAGTAGTAACAAATTGTATGGTCAGCCGTATTAGAGGCGGTATTTATATATATTGTGAGAAATTATTGTACGTAATTCAATAAATAGTAACAGACCATTTGGTCAGCTATATTACAGGCGGTATTTATATTATAAGAAATGATTGTATATACGCGTAATTCAACAAGTAGTAACGAACCATATATGGTCAGTCATATTAGAGGCGATACTCATATCGTGAAAAATGATCTAACATATTATTCTCAATCTCTCTAATTAATTTACAAACATTTTTTTATTAATTAACAAACGTTTCTCGATGTTGCTACAGTCTCATCGGCAAAATATGGATCGAGAGACATGATGGCCTATGTGAAATATATTCTCCCGTAAATTCAGCGAAAGTATACCCATTATTACCCAACAAGCAATGTTATTCGCGACACGTAATACCATTTCTTCCTGTCGTCCATTCGCTCGAAGGATTGGCAATACGTTTACAGCATCGAGAACGCGACGGCGGGCCTTCCCGAGATCGCCGATGTTATCGGTGTTTTATAATAGCTCGTCGACCGCGTACACGTGGAAATTGGATTTCTGTGCGCCGAGAGAAATTTTCCTTTCTTCCGGGCGGCATACCGCGATGGCTTCCGTCTTTGTCATCGGCCGTCCATTCAATCGCTTGAAATGCATTGTCCTCTTCTCGTGCGGACGATCGCATTTCCGTGCTTCACGCTCGGAAAAATCCCCTTTCGCCCTACGATTGTTTACATTTCGCACATGGTAGCCTGAGATCAATCCTTGATAACGATGTAATTTTGGCGAATTCAATTTTCGATTCGCGAAAAGAAACATCTCACATTAATAAAGAAAAAAAAAAACAATGAATGTTCTGCGGAAACAAATGTGAGACTCGTTTACTGCACAGAATCGCGATCAAAGTAAGAACCGGGTGAATAAGTTCACTTCGTATTCCAATTATTTAGAACTGATACTGGATCCATCATTGTAGTTTATTTAATTATTTCATGTATAAAGCTGTTTTGATCATATAACACGTTCTGTCCTCGATAAACAGCCGGCAGTATCGATTCTTAAGTGCATGTTTGTTGGCGTAAACTCGAGCAAAAGTCACATAACATTTTCGTGTGACTCGCACATACAAAGCGAAAATTGCTGACTAATAACTCGGTCACTGGATTATACCGCGAAATCTAAAATCCACATGAGTCTGACGGATGTCATCGCGACACGTGGGACGACAGGAATTTGTGTACGAGAGTCAGATTTATTGATTAAAGAGAGAGAGAGAAGGAGAAAGATGCAAGGAGATGAGGATTAAAGGATCCTGCGTATGTAGAAAGTATTATTACAATAGTTTAGAGACCTGCCACATGTCGAGGTCGCTGATGACTATCCCGGGATCCACTTTCGAGTAGTAACAGCTAAAGTTCTGCCCTATATTGGCGTACTGCCGGTAGAAAATACTGCAATTCAGCATTGGAGGGTATCCACAGCCTTTTACGTTGGGGAACAGCTTGGCCCCGGTGAAGTACCAGGAGTCGTTGACCATGAAACCTGCGAACTTCCCCTCGTTATTGTTCGGCGACGGACTTCTCCAGCGGGAGTAGTGGAGGAACGAACCCGCACGGACGGGGAAAACCGCGTATAATGACTCTTGGATATAGTACGCTCTTGTATTCAGCAACAAATCATGAAGGTTTACCAGAGGACGAACACAAGTTAACTCTCCCGCAAGACCACTAGTTTGAACTCTTTGTCTATTGAATCCCTTAAGTCCATATCTGTTTCTAACAAATGTTTTTCTGTTCTTTTATACAGAGCCAATCGGAATAATTTATGAGACTGAGGGTTTTTCAAAATCAATCCAACAATGCTAATAAAATCGCTAAAAATGCGACAAAGTGTTTATTTCATAAATAAAATAATTAATAATTACGGAAATATATATATATTGCAGATTATTTTCATTCTAATATTTCAATTGGATAACAGAACAGGATTTTATAATTTTGTGATATTTATAATGCGATATGAACGGTTTTTTAATGCATGTAAAATCAATTATATAAAATTGAAATTGCTCTTTTATTTAATTATATGTAAACATGTTTTCAAAAACAGATACGAACAAAATAGAGCCAGAAAACAGATCAAACGTATGATAATATCGATTGTCTAATGGTATTATTTTGTACCTGTAGGGGAAGGTTTCAATAGTCCGGTCTCGTCATCCACGGCGATATTCATGTCGAGATCCTCGACGTACTCGCCTAAAGAGCGCTCGTAACGCGACATCCGCTTACTCTCTTCGTCGTCCTCGACACCTCCTACCACTTCGCCTTCCCCGTCCGCTCCTTCGGACACGTTTTCCGGTAGCTTATAGTTGACGCGTATTTGCGTACAATCGTACAGCTCCTTAGTGCAACCCTCTCTACAGGATGTCCATGAGCAATTGCTCGTACCTGAACTCAACGATCATTCATGGGAATTCAGCCGTGAAATATATTTCAAGCGTCACATGAATACAACGAACGCACACATACTCGACTTTGCGTGAATTAATAGAGAATGAGAGATATTCGCGCACACATAGACACATACATACATCTATATATATATATATTGTAAAAGTGAATGTGTGGTTGAGACATCAATAATTAAATTGCAAGATAACAATTTTTAACTCGAAAACGCGAAATTGAGCCTTGAAGCTTGCAAATATGAATCGACAAGCATTATATACAATTTTCGTCAAAAAATATTTGTCGATGTCCGAAATAACTATTGATTTATCGATTCTTGGAAAATATCTTACCATTTGTCAGTGACATTTAAATGAAAAGATGGCTTCAACAACTCAAGAGTATTAATTGACTCCTAAATATATCAACATAATGCACATACAGACATACAAAGAGAGAGGGTAGATCACGCGTGAAGACAGGAAACGTGCATGCACGAGACGAAGAGCGAAGAAGACTACGGAAACAGAAAGTATTGGAATAAGAAATTGTACCATCAAGAGACGCTTTGCATTGTGACGTAACTTGCGGGGATATTGACAGCATTGGTGCTCAATCGTAGAAAACACCTGCACTCTATTGACGTTTGTGGGGAGATGAGAATTGAAGTGACGAAGGAGGAATAAGGGGAGACTTCGAATATATATAAGCTCGCGAATCTCGGGGTACCAAGAGCATGAAGACACTAGTTGCATCGATCTTATCATGATTCTGTACAGCATCTTCTTTCTGATAGATAATTTTAGTAATAATTGATCAAATTCTTTTTCTCATATTTGTACATTTTATTTGAGATAGAATTATTTTCGCGAGTATCATTTAAAAATAAAGACAATTTTTTGCTGATTCTCTATCTCTGATTCTGTGTTCAGAAAGCGACGAAGAGTCAAATCTCAATTAATAACAATTAATATAAACGCGACTTATAAAAGTTGATAACAACTGGAAAGATTTATTGGTTATAACATAAATATCTTCTGAATCATGAAATAAATATTTTCGAATATATGTATATTTTATATTGCGATCAATAATATCCATTCACAACGGCAAATTAAAATTTATAAAGTTGTATTAAATTTTTATGTCTTGCGGTCTTGTATATATCACGAATGACATGACATGAAAGATATACGCTATCGAAGAATAAAAAATTCATAAGGTTTTTGTTTTTTTGTTACAGTTTCCATAGAATTTATTATGATCTAAAGTGCGTTAGAAAAACATCTTTCTGAATGACAAAAGAAGACTTATAACCAAAGCGTAATTATTTTTGTAATCGTCCACGTGGAATATTCTCGAAGCTTTATTAATAAAAGATGGAAACGGTTGCTCTTTTATACCAACTATATATAATGATGCGATGAATATTAAACAAGAGAGAACATGTCAACTGTCTCATGGATGTTCTTCGTCACTTTCATTCAATCTGGAAATAGCCTTTCCTTTAATCGTTCATGAGAATTGCACATTTTGACGCTGACCCAATTCTGTAAATGGAAATTTACATCAGTTTCTGATATTTGTCTATCATTATCTGTCACTTTTGATGAAATATTTTATGAAGTCATGATATGTGTAAGATCTCTTTTTTAGGCAAAAGAGAATTATTTTTCTTAATAATTCGTTTTATCTAAAACCATTTTTCTTCTTTTTAAGAAATTACATATGGATGATGTATGTTTTTTTTTTAAATAATTAAATGCAATTTGTAGATGTAATTTTTTCTGCAACGTTAACAAAGACAGATCTTTCATCACACACACAAGCACAAATAATTTATATATTATTATATTAAATTATATTCACGTTTATATATCATTTGATTGTGTATTATATATTATATATAATATAATACGAGAGAGAATCAAAAGAACGAAATCCTCTGCTCATTGAAATAGCTTTAAAGTCTTTAATATCAAAATAAGTCTGCTCATCAAATTGCTTGAACGTCGAAGAGGATTTGTGATGCAATTTTATATCGGATTTTCCGATATCTTATAGAAAAATGAAACGGTCGTTGTCAAGATTGATCCTTCGAGATCTAAAATATTGTTCTTTATATATTGCATTTTTATTTATATAGATTACTGTCACACATACATACGCGTTATGCGAAGATCGATAAAGATAAAACTTATGCCAAGCTTTAAGCATCTTTATGTGAGCCCACGTGGAGACGTTTAATCGAAGAGATTAGAAACTTTATATCGCGTCCTTCGTATAAACGCTTGAAAATAACTACCCATCTGCATAGTTGATCCTTTTTTATTATCAATATATTATTAAAATAAGATTATATTTTTTATACATTTCATCACAGATAAAAAAAACGAGAAAATACACGTGTTACGTATTATGATGAATTGAAACATAAAGATAATGAAATTATTGACCTATTGTTATCTAATCTTAATCTGTTATTTACTTCGAAAAAATAGTATAGAGTGATTTTATTCCACTTATTGAATTTTAATAATTAATTTATGCAATTTTTACAAGATATTAATATATGACAATATAATACAAATTTTTGTTATTCATAAATTTACACGTGTATGAATTATTTTAGGACATTTTGTCCTTTAATTTTTAGTTTGAGACAAAAATGTATTCACGACGTGTACATGCTGTCTTAATTTTCAACCTTTTCCTAAGCTCGCTGCGTTTCTAATACATGATTTACGTTGCGGGTTATACCCTATTGTATAGCATGAGCTATCTAACCTTCTCTCTAATGCAATTTTTACAGCACAAAAAGTATGAATAACAAAGGTGAAGATTGTATTCCAAAGTCATTAACAATATTCCTAATAAAAAACAAATTGTATTAAAGCATTTCTCTTATTTTATTCCTCGATAATTGTAATATCAATAAAATGATGATGAAAAATAAATATAAAGAGTATAATAGAAATATAAAAATAATGTAGCGTGATGTTTTTAAAGGGATATACTTTATATGCTAATCGTTGACTTCACAGAAAAATTCATTTACGTAACATCATTTTCGCTATTTTTTTGGCACATACACGTTTTTCAAGAGATTTATATTAAGAGAAATATTCTTTTATATAGGATTACTTGTTGTAGAGATAATTTTTTGCATCATATTAAAAGATTATTCTAAAAACCTCTAATTAAAAAAACTATTAATGAGAAACGCATTTTTCAAAGACAGTCAAAGCTTAATTTCTTAGATGTCAGTCGGTTCTAGAAGATTTTTCTCGCTGTGGTACAAACTTACCTCCACAGTGGCAAAGTATATATCTTACATGACAGTCTTTGAACAGTCATTTGCAAATGGATTTTGCTCATCTCGCAAGAATCTAAATCCCATTACAACATATTTCGCGATATTCTTGAGCCGTTCCATTTTAAGACACCTCAGACATAGTTGGATCTCAGACCCGGTCTCAGCCCCGAGAGACTTCATCGCATCATGTCACGCAAAGAAAGCTCGATCGCCCCTCTCTCCTCGGGGTCGACGTAACGGTACCCCCTATGTAGAAGATGCGAGTGCATCAGGGCTCGGCGCCCTCTTCCTGTGCCCCCTCATCATCATCATCCACCTCCTGCTTGTCTTCCCGCGTTCCTCGCTCCTCTGCCCTCCTGCCGATCTCTTCTTCGTCTCCTACTTTTGTTCACTATGTCACACTGTTGTCCACCGTGCACATTTGATCCCGCGAATCACCGCGACGCCTTCGTCACGACGCCCTGGCCGTTTGCCGTGGATAATGGATAGAAATGGGGGTGCAGGAAAGAGACAGGATAAAAGGGAGAGGGATAAAGAAACAATATACCGTTTCGCGATTTGCGTGGATTACGACGGAGTCCACATAGCGAACGCTTTCAGCGACGAGCTTCCATCGGCAGCTTTCTTGACCGAGTCACGTGCGAAGCTCTCGTCCTGACCGCGGCGCCGACGGATGCCGGGCTACTGCAGTCAGTGGAGCTTTCGGACGAGCTTATTTTCCCGACGTTAGCGCCAACGACGGCATTTCGTGGCATCGACCGCCATCTCCGTCGCCGCCACCCCCAACGCCGAGGATGACGACGACGACGAGGGGTGATCCTCCCCTCCGTAAAGCTCTGATCACACTTTTTGCGCACGCTCTCTTTCTCTCTCTCTCTCTCTCTCTCTCTCTCTCTCTCTCTCTCTTCTGCGTCTCTTACGATTACTTTCCGCGTACAATTTATCGCTATTGTTGTCTGTCGGACGACTGTTTAGCGATTTATATCACTGCAACTTTATCCGAGCTTTACTCCAAACGATACCGAAACCTCCTTTATTTCTGCGCGCTCTCTCTCTCTCTCTCTCTCTCTCTCTCTCTCTCTCTCTCTCTCTCTCTCTCTCTCTCTCTTCTGCGTCTCTTACGATTACTTTCCGCGTACAATTTATCGCTATTGTTGTCTGTCGGACGACTGTTTAGCGATTTATATCACTGCAACTTTATCCGAGCTTTACTCCAAACGATACCGAAACCTCCTTTATTTCTCCTTTCTCTTTCCTTGTATAATCGGCCTTTCTTCGAAATTTTTCTTGTATTCTTTAATCATAGAAGAAGTATGAGTTAGCAATCTGAGACTTTGCAATGTGATTCTCAGATCTTTTTTTAGAAAAATACACGAATTTCGAACATGTGCGATTATATAATTGAAATGTATGATTTATATGAATCTGCGTTTTATTTATTTATTTTTTTATTATTTTATATAACAAGATTGCAAATTATTTTATTATATTAGAATTATTTCGATTTTTTTGTCTTTAATGATACTATCGCAATACTTCGTCTTCCCTGTATTTCTTATGTTTTATTACATATTATTTATTTTTATGCAGTACGCAACTCTCGAAAAGCAGTCTTTCCATTGATCCGAGATTTTCGTAGGGTCGGCTAAGGATAATGATAATTGATTGACTCACTGTGATTAAATAGAGTTGAACACAGCGAGGTCATCTTAGTCTTATGCGTAATAGGGGGAAACCGAGATTTTATTACCGCTATTCCACCGTTATGACTAATGTATGCTTTAATTTCGGATGCATTCTTAGGATTATTGCTTGGAAGATGTAAAAAGAATTGTAGCATAATGAGTTGATGTAAGAATACAAAATGCTATTCTTCCTCCTCTCCATCTACTTTCTTAGAATTTTATTTAAAGAATTACAATAATTACAACGCAGTAATGTTCATATATAATAATACATCTATATATTCTTTTATTGAGGAAAAGTTTATATTTAAACAAAATTCGGTTTAAAAAAATAAAGTCCAATGAGAATTGTCTTCTTTAAAGACCAAATATGCTTTCTTTTTGTTTGACCATCAAGTGATGATATTCTCAAGCTAAGAGGGAAAACCAATAAGCACTCTGGTCTAGTTGGAGTTTGGAACAGTGACAAAGTCACCGGAACGAAGTTAAGCCCTTCGTCAAAGTTACAGCCGAGATGCAGAAATTTGGGGAAGGCATTCTTCAATCTATCGCATGGCTTCGATAACAAATTTATTTTAAGTATATCAAGTTCGTTAATTGGCATTTCTCAGGTGTTATTTTCCCAGGTGCCTCGAATGGTTATTATTATCTCACCGGATGACGTAACTCTAAACGATCCGGTCGACCGGATTTCAATATTCATTTCCTTCTGACGACGAAGAAAGTCTCAGTTATCACGTAATGCAGCTTCTGTCATCGCGCGCTAAATTGTGTAAACGCTATTAAGGAGGATGTCAACCGACTCGCAGCGGCTTCGATTAATACGGCGAACGCAATTTATTGTATATTCTTCGATATTTCGCGCCATCATGACTGCAAAATGTGGAACGCGCGATTCGACTTTTGCGATTATCAAATCTGATTACGTTTAAGTTCGATTAGAAAAATTTAATTTAATCAACAAATAAAAGAAAGATGTGAAACAAGAATAAAGAATAAAAATAAACATCAATTTGTATGGCTAAAAATCAATATTACCATTTTTCTCACAATTAGGTTTCTCGTTCGAAACAGTCTTAAAAAATGAAGACTTTAAAATCTTCAACATATTGAAATATATGGGGTTGTTTGGAATATGTGTGTAATCTTTTTTACTTTTAAATGTTATAACAGAATATTTTTCGATGATTCTTTTGTGTACCTTACTTTTTCTTTTCTTGTACACTCGAGGACATCGCCAACCTTTATTAAGATATAAACTGCATACTTGAACGTAACTAAAGTGCACTCGGTTCTGAATGCATTATATAAAACTAAAAGATGCTTAGCAATAGTTTATTATAACATCATGAGAGATCCATCATCCTACAAACTTATTTTCATCGATATTACTGCTTATTATTTGGGATTAAACTTCAAGTTATCGAAGAAAAAGAAGTATATATATTATATTGTTTATTTTTTATATAATTACATGAATTATAAGAGAGATAAAACAACTGTCATTTATATTATATATCTATTTCATATATTTATATAAATTATAGAAGAAATTGGTTAAACTAAATTTTTGGCTAACTTTATGATAAAAGTATTTTTTTTTTGTCTCTTTAAGATATCTTTTATCTCTTTTATTTCTCTGTTTTCAGTAACATCGAAACAGATAAGAAGATATCATGACTTAATATAATTGAAAAATTATAACTCTCAATATGTCAAAAATATAAAAAAAGAAAACATCAGATCTTCAGTAATATTGTAATATTAAAATGAAAAAGTCTTGAAACATTAGTATCATCATACAAATAATTGTGGTGCTGTCATTGTA